ATCTCAGATTTCGTGTGTGAGGTATCACTTATGTAGGGGTATCACTTATGCTTTATATTATATTGTTGTAGTAGATATTCATCTCTTACCTCGTTACACTGAATAATGTACTTAAGAATATGAAGCATTGGATGGAGTATACGATCATCCACCAAGTATCAGACCTAAAATACCAATTTGTAAGCATAATCATCATCATCATACTCAACAAGTGATAAAGTGATGGTATACTGTAGTTGATGAGAATGGAGGAGTATGATGATCCCAATGAAGGAGAGTGTAATAGGATGAGTATGATGATGATAAGAAGAGATGATCATACTGCATGGATGGATATAACTATACCAACTTGTAATCTACTACTACAACTACTATGGTCATCATCATAAGCATTAGATAAGAGGATGTTGGATGAGTATCGTAGAATTAAGGATAGTATTATACCAGACTTGATATGTCAATGGAGGAATACTATCTATACATTTGGACGGTAATACTACTACTACTCTTTGTAACATCATCATCACTATCATAATCCTTATCAGTGATCTAGCTTTCAACGAGCTTAGACGATCCTTACATGTGGTGAAATGTACTATTACCATACTCAATATGCATCATGAGGTAACTACTACTACTACTAATACTAGTTATGGTATGTATACAACAATGCATCAGAATGGCACTATAGAGGAAGAGGAGGGGGAGGAGAAGGATGGCGGCGGCGACGATGGTGGTGGTGGTGGTATTTATAAGGATATACTAGATGCATCACTAAGGCGTGATCCTAATACATGTGATGATGAAGATGAATCTATTATTACTATGGTAGTAGTAATAGTATTGAAGAAGAAGATCTTGTTGTTGTTAGTCATCCTATTCTAGCAGTATTCATTATTGATATAGATACTCAATATATATGATAGACAACAATACATAGAAGATACTTATGAAGAGGAGGTATCTATATTAGAAAGGGAAGTATTAGAAAATAAGTTGGAGTATATCAACTACTTGATGGTAGTACTCACTACGACCATTATTATTATATACTACTACTACCTCTTATGTTAGATGGGGCATTATCGGGATAAAGTAGTAAAAGACCTCACAACACAACTCTTACAGGACTTAGATCATGCTATTAAGGATTATATTAATAACAACAACAATAATACAGGAGTAATACTGCTACTACTACTACAGCAGGAGTAGTAGTAGTAGTACTACTCCTGCTGCTGCTGTTGTTGCAGTCCTCATCCTAGTGGCGTTGTCATCATAGTTTATCATACTTGTTGTCGCAGGACATGGAGGATTATAATGATGATGATGATGATCATCCCCCTCCTCATCATCATAATCATGAAGAGAAGGATGAGGAAGAGAAGATGGAGGTTCATATTGATAATCCAATGCATGATGTTATCACTTATCTGGTAGTAATAATGTATCATTATTATTATCATCATCATTATATTCAGATGAGCGTATCATTCTCCCACAATAAGGATGCATGGCTAGACCCTATGGAGGTATATAGAGTATGGGCGGCCAACCTGTATAAAGCAAGGTCATCATCATCATTATCATCATCATGCTCATCATCATCATCATGCTCATCATCATGCTCATCATCATCATCATCATGCTCATCATCATTATCATACATGTCAGATATCTATTATTACCACCAATAACTACATTAGATTGTTGTTATGATGATGATGATAGTATAAGGAGAAACAGAAGGACACTATCAATACTATCACAATGGTCGTCTAATATACCCAATAATAATATCAAAGTTCTATTCATTAACAACATACTATCATGTTGTTATCCATTATCCCCACTCACTTCTACACATACCCTTATGGATGGGATAGCTGCTTTCATAACCCTACTCATACATCTATGTGGAGGAGGAGGAGCATGTCGCCCTCCTACTACTACTAATATGGTATATCCTATTGCTCTTGCTTCACAACAACAACAACAACAACACATAGAGTGTATCACCACACATACGGTACTATTCTTAGCATCATAAACTTGATTATTATCATT